AGAGAGAGAGAGAGAGAGAGAGAGAGAGAGAGAGAGAGAGAGAGAGAGAGAATGAGGAAAGAGAGAGAGAAAGAAAGATTGAAAGAGAGAAGACTCCATTAACTACTCATTACAGAAGCTAATTAACTCGGATAGAATCTATAAAACAAAATTTATATGAAGAACAAAACCAAGAGCAAGATTTAAATGAAGAACAAGATCAAGAACAAGATCTAATACCCTTGCGTTGTTATTTCTAGAACCTAGCACTTGAGTCTGGTATGTGGTCGACGTTAGTAGTCCAGACAGACGATGTTCCTGACCTTACTACTGTTATGAATGATTGCGTCATCGCCTGATAAACTGTAAATCCCATGAACCAATTCATATTACTTTTTATCTTAATATCTATCAATACTATGTCCACTTCGTTGTTTATTATCGTCATTATCATCGTTATTATTAACATCGTGATTATGATCATCATCAAAATCATGGTCTGTATTCTTTATTATGTAAATCGCGTGGATCTCCTCCCAAGGCTAACCACGGAAGTGCCTTTAGCTGTTGTTGAAATCTATTGAGATCCTGGTTAAGAGGAAGAGGAGGAAGAAGAAGAGGAAGAAGAAGAGGAAAAGGAGGAAGAGGAAGAAGAGGAAGGGGAGGAAGAAGATGAAGAAGAGGAGGAAGAGGAAGAGGAGGAGGAAGATGAAGAAGAGGGGACAGAGGAAGAGGAGGAGGAAGAGATATTGGAATTGGAAGAGAAAGAAGAGAATGAGGAAGAGGAGGAAGAAGAGGAAGAAGAGGGGACAGAGGAAGAGAAGGAGGAGGAGATATAGGAATTGGAAGAGAAAGAGGAAGAGGAAGAAGATGAGGAAGAGATATTGGAAATGGAAGAGAAAGAGGAAGACGAAAAGGAAAAAGGAAAAGGAGGAATTGGAAGTGGAGGTGTATATTAGAATTGAAAAAGGAAGAGGAAGAGGAAGAAGGAAAGGAAAGGGAAAAAGAAGAAGAGGAGGAAGAGTTGGAGCTGAGTTGGAGTTGGAGGTGTTAGAGATAAAGCTAGTTTAAGGCCAAGCGTAGCGTGTCCCTGACGTAGTCGATAAACCCCACGAATTATTTTCATGCAACCGACGTTATTCTCCCCCTGTATCGGTTCCTACCACGAACCAAGGACTATACTAGCTCGTTCATCACAAAAGAAAGACCGCAGATAGGCAATAAAACCCAACTTAAATCTTGCGTATCCTTGCCTCTCCCAATGCCGTCTGCCTCAAAACCCACAGCTAGCAAATAAGCGCTTCACCGCTACGAACGAGCGATCATAAGGGACCATCGTGCGTGATATTAATGGATTCTTTTATCTTCAATAAGAGGTTTCATTGCCTCCTCTTCCGCTTCATGTAGTCCACTATAGGCCTACGTATGTGCTCGCTGGAGGCTGTAGGCGAACACTGGCCTTGTAAGTGGTTTGTTAGTCGTGTCAAACAATCATTGCCATGTTGGGTATGAGTACGTGGGTGTTTGTAAGAAATGCTTGATTTGGTTCTTGCATGACAGGTAGGGGGGGAGAGGGAGAGGGAGAAGGAGAAGGAGGAGAGAGAGAGAGAGAGAGAGAGAGAGAGAGAGAGAGAGAGAGAGAGAGAGAGAGAGAGAGAGAGAGAGAGAGAGAGAGAGAGAGAGAGTTAGAGAGAGAGAAGGAGAGAGACGGGGAGAGGAGAGAGAATGAGAGAGGGAGAGAGAGGCAGAGGCAGAGAGAGACAGAGACAACGAGTGACAGAGACAGAGGCAGAAACAGACAGACAGACAGAAGCAGAAAAAATAGACAGCCAGCCAGACAGAAACAGAAAAAAAATAAACAGCCAGGCAGACAGACAAACAAACAGTCAGGAAAAGAAAACTATACAAGAGATAGAGAGACAGAGAAACCACCTTACTTATGCAAGAGTCTAGAGCCATTAGATTAAAAAATACCCCATAGATTACCATAAACTTACCGATAGAGAGTTCCCCATTAGATATTTCTAATGGGTTAGCCAGAGGGGGAGATATCACTTGAGGAGGGGGGGGGGATGGGAGAGGAGAAAAGAAGGGATGATAGAGGAGAGAATGAAGGAGAGACGGAGAAAGAATGAAAAGTGTGAAAAGGGTGGATGGGAAAGGAGATAAAGAAGGAAGGAAGGAAGGAAGGAAGGAAGGAAGGAAGAAAAGAGAGGAAAGGACAGGAAGATAATGTTGCTGGGGAAACGAAATTAAAAAAAGAGAAATAATGAAATGGGGGATAAAGGAAGAATGTAATAATGATAAGAAACCAACAGTTAAAGAAGCAAAGAATAGCAACTAACGATAAAAGGAAATGAAAAAAAGGAAAAGAGAAACAGAAGAAAAAAGAGAGACAAACAGAGGAGATAAAAGATAAGATAAAAAAAAATAAAAGAAAGAAATAAAGACGGAATGAATAACAGATTGAGAATCAGAGAGAAGATAGAAGTGATAAAAAAAAAACAAAAAAACGCGGGAA